TGGAATAGAAAGCTCAGAGAACGGTGCATCACAGGCTGCAATGAAAATATTACAGTGGGATAATAACTGGCCAACGCACAGGCTGCCCGTGCGAAGATGCGTTTTTTGCGTAGTTTCCCGCAGTTTTTGTCGCTACCGGCATCGATTTTTTCGGCAAATGCTTCTAGCTAAAGAAATTAAGACTGGCCACCAGAACTGGCACGAAACACCCCCTTATAATTCCAGCTTCCTAGCCTTCCTGGGTCCTGAGTTAGCAACTTACTGGTAAAAAAAATTCTCCGGCCCGATGTCTGCGTTGTCTGGACATACCCGATGTCTGGGTTTCAGCTCATTGCAACTTACTTGGACGGGGAACATCTCCCTAGATTTAAAGTCTTCTAACTTTCTAATTCCCGAGTTAGCGACTTGCCCGCAAAAAACTTTCACAGACTCATACGTAGATACCATGAGTACCCGAGGACTAGGTCTGAATTCACCTACTTGGACGGGGAACATCCCCTTAAAATTTCAGCCTTCTAGCTTCTCAGGTCTCAGAGTTAACTTATCCGGAAAAAATTTTGGCGGGCCCGTACGGGGGCTGTACGTGGGTACCACGCGGGTAAGAGCGCCTATTTCGGAGATGGGGCCCGTACACGCATGCAGATTAAGTTACTCGAGTTTCGTTCCCGTAGCTTCTGTGGGTCTCGAGATAAAAAATCAGTACAGACACGCAGCGCGCACACAGACACACACAGACACAGACAACCTCTCGTCAATATGCGTTTTCCGCATTGTATAGCTGCAAAAAACGCATAATTTAGAAGCAATTGTCATTGTTGCACTAGTACTAAATATTGCCATAAATACGCCTTTCGAAAAATAACCCAAACAGCAAGCTATTAGGCTTCCGATAAATGCATTTCTGTGCTTAATTTAAAATAGTCAGGCCGTTAACAGTAATGATCGTTGTAGCTTCAGTGTTTAAAGTCTGCGCTTGTATTGATAAATGTTTTGTTCTTTTCCCGCACAAAAAGGAAAAGAGCCTCTACCCGGCGAAAATGTTATATTGTGGCGCTGCGTGAAATCTTGACGATCACCATAAAATTTGCATGAAGATGTTGTTGGCAAGACGCATTCTCAAATTTACCATATCCATACGTGGAACTTAAAATTTCTGCTTTTTCCGGTGTTTGACCACCGAAAGAAAAGGATGAAAAAGTATCACAGCCTGAAAATTTGACGCATCGCTATGTTACGGCACATATAAAGGTAGAAGCTAGTTTTACACTTAAAAACATTCACAAGAACAGTAAACATTTCCATGTGCAATTTCATGTGCAGTTCTACAAATTCAAATTCATTTCGCAGGAAAGCCTATGTTTCAAATGCCGACACGTGAAATTTTTGGTGAGAAAATTGCTCACTGTCAGCAAGTTCATTTTCTAAAAGCGATCGTTAAACGAAATTTGTTCACTTTTCACTTTGCAAAATTTACGATGATTTACGCTAGTGAGTGCACAAAGTAAATGTAAAGCAAGAACCATTCATATAGTTAACGATTCGATTGCTCCATGTATTGTGCAAATACGTGTGATTGCACC